AAGAGAAAGGAAAAATTGAAATCGCATCATATGACCCTATATAATAATATATTAGGCAATTATTTAAAAAAAAACACCTCGGGAAAATACCGAGGTCCGAACCTCAGTGACTTCATAGTGTCACGCCATGGACTGTTTTGTGTTTGTTTTCCTCCCCCACGTGCTCCATGTCCTAGTTTTCAACCGTGTTCAATGATTTCAGGTGTTTCTCGTTAAGTCCCTTGTCTAGTCAGGTATTTAAAGAGTGTTCTGTTCCTTGGTTTTTGTCCGGTGTTAATTGTCTATTCCCCAGTGCTACGTGTGTGTTCCTTACTGTGTGTTCCCGTGGATGAATAAAGACTGTTCCTTGTAAATGCTCCCACGTCTCCGCGTCTCCTCGCTCCAGCACAGTAGCAGCAGCGTGACACATTGCAGGCTATGGGCATGTTGCTAACCGTTGTGGAGACTGTCTCTCTATTCATTCATGTGAAATCTCATCTGCTTTTCAATACAAATTATGCTTTATTGATAGTGTGTGCAGAGTTTTGTCTTTTAATATCACTGTCTAATGCATTGAGCCACGTCAAGTTAAGACTGTATAGTGTAAATGCAGATATCGGATACGAGTCACTTTTAAAAGAACGTGTAAGCGGCTCATCAAACAAACGGATATATTCAGAAAATCTGATTTGGGAGTCCAGATCTGCAGTGTAAATTCAGCCCAAATGTGGTTTTAAATCAGATACATATCTGATATCTGGACATCCGACCTATGTCTAAACACACATATCTGATTCCCTGCAGAACTCCCAATGCGAGGGAGCAACATGTTTGCCCATAAAGATTGTGTTTTAATGCCGGTGTGCTGTATGCGCTCACATTTTATTGATACAGAAATGTGATATAGGTAAAACATTTTACATTCAGGAGCTGGTGTTCAACCCCTGCCCCGTGAGTTTTATAAATACAACTAAATTAATTTAAATAAATATCATCTTGGCGTTACTTTATTTCATTAAAGAATTCTACCTCTAACGAGCTGTAGATAAAATAGCCTAACAAATGAAAATTACTGTTATTTTCCATTATTTATCTGTTCAGGCAGATTTTGTGCTGCAAAGCATCCATGACAGCTGTTGTCCATGCTGGCAAATAATAATGGCCATTCAACATGAATTATATAAATAATTTTAATAGCACGGCCATTCAAAACCTGAGAGTCTACCATGTGCATAGTAAAGCGAAACTGCAGACAGTCGTTTTGGGCGGGAATTAATTTAAACACAGATATCGGATACCAGTCGTGTCTAAAGTGAATGTAAACAAACGGGCCAAAAATCAGATATGGTCAAAAGATCGGATCTGTGCATTAAGACTAGCAGTGTAAATGCAGCCATAGAAATTAAGTGAAGACTGTTCTGGAGATTTCATACCACTACTTATGTTGTACAAAAGAATGTATAACATTCATTCAGTCCGAAACATTTACTTTTCTAATATTTCTTAACAACAGCTCCCCCTGTTGACCCCTGCTACAACTACAATGTCCTGGATGATCTATGGAGAGCCACCAACAATCAACATTCCTCTCAAATAATGTGTGACTCTTGGGTCAGCTGGAATGGCTGGTACTGTCTCTTCATTCAAGGTCAAAGCGTTCAGATGCCAGACACATGTGTTGATGAGTATAGTTGTGGCACTCATGCTCCACTGTGGCTGAACGGAGGACATCCAACAGTCGAGGATGGAGTGGTCACTCGAGATGTCTGTGGTCACTGGAGCAATAACTGCTGCTATTTCCAATCCAATCCCATTAAAGTCAAAGCCTGTCCAGGAGGGTATTATGTCTATGAGTTTGTGAGTCCAACTATCTGCTATTTGGCATACTGTGCAGGTAAATATATTGACATGTGCTCTCTGTTTTTGTAAGAGATTATTATTTTGTGTAATATTCTTTTTTTTTTTTTGTAATTGTCTACTTTGTGATGTCAGAGACAACCACAACCGAAACTACAGCCAAAACCACAACCACAGAAACCACACCCGAAATCACAAGGACTGGTAATATAATGTGTTTCATAACAATCTGGAGGATTATTATTTTACATGAGCAAACCAGACCCATGTTATGTGTTCGTGACACATGTAAAGAGTTCTCATTAAATAGTGTTTAATCTTTTGTTGCAGAACTAATTCCTTTCCAGATCGCCATGTGTACTCAATGCAGGATCTACAGTTGCTAGCTGAAATGATTTGTCCAAGAATCTATTACTAATTTGATCATACAAAATTATCTTTTTTTTAAATCTAAAAATGTGGAAAGTTTTGAGTGAGGGGTAGGTTTATGGGTAGGCTTACGGTAAGGGGATAGAAAAGTACTGTACAATATACAAATCTTTATATCTATGGAATGTCCCCATAAAACATGGAAACTCAGCATGTGTGTGTGTTTAATAACACAGGCTCTAAGTACGCAAACAGACAGAAAATATCTTAGAATTTACCTAATGTAGTATTTATTGTGTCCAAATGTTGATTTTGCATATTGCGAAATATAAAAGAATTCAGGTGGGAAAAGAAAGCCATGTCAAATCTCAGAAGAAACATAAACAGAACATAAACTTTTACAGGCTTCTCTCATTAACACATGTAACCTGAAGTATTTATACTTTCACTAATTTGGTCCGCTACTCAACACATACCCTGTTAATTAAGAATGGACGTGCTTACAATCTGACTAACTAGAGCTGATGCAGACTAATAAATGTTGCTGAAGCAGACAGAAATCGTTGTGGTTTGGAGCAAGGGTTAGGTGGGTAATGTGAAAATAATGCGAGTGTGCTACATTTCCATTTTCCCCCAGAGATTTACACTGGAAAATTGTGGAGCGCTTTTGAGCTCAGGAAGGCACAGACACCAAAAGTCCTGCACCAAATTTTCATATAAAGCTCTGGAAAAAATTAAGAGACCACTGCAAAATGATCAGTTTCTCTTGTTTTATTTTACTATTTATATCTGTTTGAGTGAAATAAACATTTTTGTTTTATTCTATAAATTACTGACAACATTTCTTCCAAATCCCAAATAAACATATTACCGTTTAGAGTAGGAACGGTAAGATTCATAGATTTGCATCGGTCCATCGGCATAAAAGTTAACGATGCGATGCGATGCATTGATTTAAAAAGTGTGCATCAGATACAAGTTGGCATTTGTATCGCGATGCATCGTTTCTAACATATTTGCATAGCTAAAAACCGGTTTATTATATATAATTATTAGTAGATGTGCTGTACTTTTATTATTTAGAAAGGGACCAATAATTTGTGACCAATATTTTATAATTAGATTGATTTCTCCTCTCTAAACTGTTTCTCAAGCGCGTTCTCTCATCACCACTGCTGCTTCGTGAATATGACGAATCAACACTATGGAGGCGTGTCCTGACAGTCACATAGAATATAGATTAACATGGCATAGGTAGAGCTGCATCTTCCACCAAATAATTACAATGAACCAAAGAAATAAAAGCGAACTATCTGTACCATATTGAATTGCATAGCTTCATATTTTTTTCCATTGCATCATATTGCATTGAATCGAATTGTGTTGAATCATGACTTTATCCCACTCCTGGCACACAAATTTAAGCAGCTCAGCCTTGTTTGATGACTTAGACCCTGTAACAGAGAGGCAGTGGCGTTAGGATCCATGTGCAGCTTTATTAGTTCACAAGGCAGGTCGTACAGGCATAAATCGTTAACTGGCGTAAGAAACAACGAAGGCTGGGCAGAGTCGTAAACAGTGTTCGTAATAAGGGTCGAGGCAGGCGGCAGACAATCAATGGCATGAATCAACAAGGCAGGCAGGGTCAGAATAGGTAGGCAGCAAGCAATCGTAAACGGGTAAACAGTCCAGGTAATCTACAGGTATTCAACACAGGGAAAAACGCTCAGAAATGTCTGCAAGGCAAAACAAGACTTCGCAATGAGAGCAGGGAAGGCACAGTTTAAATAGACC